TTGACTAAAGGGGATGAGGACACACTGTAATGGTTACATCTGTTGAATAAAATAATAAAAAGACTGAACTTGGATTTTGTTAATATTTCAATTTTCTATTATTTCATTCAAAATAAAAATGGTCCCCAAGGCGGTAGCTTGAGAAACACTGCTCTGAAGTTTCTGTTTAATGCCAGTTATTATTTCCCTAATATTTAAATGCAGTTTCCTCAAACACTAGAGTTATCAGATAATTGCTGAGGTTTGAAATTTTGATCTGTTAACAGTCTTTTCCAGAATGGTCTTCATATGATAGCCATAATGCATATTCCAAATACACAGCTTCAGTCATAACCTTTGATCTAGATAGGGGCCATGATTTTTTCCTCTTTCCTAAGTGTCATTTGCTTGGTCACCTTTACTTCTCCCCAAGTTCTCAGATGGTGTTAACTACCAGGAAGCAAGTAAGTGCTGATAAATCTTTTCCCAGCTTCCATACATGAAAAGCTGGGAGAAACAGGTATCATTTCAGGAAAAGTAATTATTTATATATTCTGATGTAAAATGACAAATATCTGCTTCCATTAACAAAGGAGAGAATACTCTTCTTTCTCTCATGAATTTTTTTCAAATTTAAATATTATATCAAGAAATCTCTACACAGATGAAAGGTGTAGCATACCAAAGCAGAGCAGATCCTTAGGATGACCTTATCAGTTAAATGTAATGGATATGTAAATTGTAGTTCTATACTTTTCAGACTACCACACTCTGCACAGTACTCAGTTAGAAGTTACATTTAGAATGCTAGCTAAGGCGAGGAACTAGGAACTGTTTTTGCTTTTCTTTTTCTACCTTTAACTCTGTAACTCAAACCAATTTGGTGAATAGTCAAATGTGAAGAAAACATGAAATTCAGAGAAATTAATTTTTACCTGTATTAATAGTCCTTTGAATGATGAATTGCTATATACTAGTCACTGAATTTTAAGAATAAATTTATTGTCATAAATTGAGGGAAAAATTTGCTTCAGGTTTAAGAAGGAAAGTTTTCTATTGATAACCAGCTGCTCACTAGTTCAGTGGCTCTGTGTGAGTCCTCATCACCCCACTAGATCCTGTTTCCTTCAATAGTAAGATTTGACAATATGTGTCCTTAGGTACGTTATGGAGCTACCTGTCCTTGAAAATGTGGGTTAAAGCCGGGTGTGGTGGCGCATGCATGCAACCACAGCACTGATTGTTGTGAAGTCAAGACCAGCCTGGGCTGCAAAGTGAGCACAAGCCCAGCCTGAACTGCATAGTGAGACCCTGTCTCAAAAAAAAAAAAAAAAAAAAAAAAAAAAAAGAAAAAGAAAAAGAAAGAAGAAGGAAACATGGGTTAAGAAAAATGTTTGAAAGTTCTTTTACATTGTAGTTATCCCATGAAAAGTTTTTCTAAAAATTAAAAACATTCATTGCCTCATTTGAAAACGACAATTCATTTTATCTGGTATGTAAATAAAACTGAAAGTGAAACATATGCCCCTATGTTATATTCAAATTCATTCTGTACTAAATGCAGATTTTATTGTCAACCAACCTATTCAAGATTAATACTGCATTTCAAAGGACAGAATTACTTAATGAGTAACACTGCCCAAAGCTGGATTCTCTCTATGCATACAGATTAAGGAAGGACCCCATTCAATGCTATATTGTCTCTGTGAATACAAATTAAGGAGCTGTGCTTGTTGTTTGAATTTGGAGGCAGAAAATAGCTTACTGGGCAATCCCTTATGTCCTAAATTCTGTGTGTTTATGGTACATCATTTGGAGTAGCTGCAATGCATAGGGAATTTGGAAATTGATTTGATTTAGAACAAACTGATGTGCTGCTGTTAGAGAACATGACAACATCTGTCCAGCAGCCTGGGATGGTGGGACGGGTTGCTTGTGGTTGTTTAGTTTCACGAAGGGAAAATAAATACAAAATATTTGACAAATTCCAGTCCATTTATGGAACTGCTTGAGTCGACACCTACACATAGTTAAATTCTGAGTTGCTACAGGGAGTCCCAAACTGGGAGTGGTAGGACATGTATTTCTTGGTATATTTTTCATGGAGCTTGAGTAGATCTAGGTATGTAGAACTCAAAAATCACATCATACAATCTTTTTTTCAGTTCTGATTCTTCCTAGCTAAAGAAAAAATTCATTCTCCTGCTAAAGTGCCTCTAACATCTCTTTTAATTAAGAATCACCTTTGTAACAAAGATTCAGGAATGACAAAGGTTTCTGCAAACAAACAGCATCTAACTATAATTTAATAACTCTAATTTGTTCACTGTTCTTATATGTAGTAGCTTCTATTTATGGTGGTACTGTCCTTTTAGTTATGGCAGCAACATAAAGCATGTTTTTAAATGAGTTTATTCAAGCCTTAAAGGTATGTTGATTTAGAGGAAAACTTTAAATAAGTAGTAAATGACAGACAAAAATTTCTAAGATCCGCTATGCAAACGTTTGAAGCTTGGGAAACACTAGGTTGGTAAAAAATACACTGAGTTGGAAGATAGGAAACTTGGTTACAAAATCTAATTCTGACTCTGTCCCTAATTATCAGATGTACTTGGGCAAGATGATGAATCTTTCATTTTCTCATTATCCAGTAAATACAATGATATTTGCCAAGCTACCTTTGGAGTGATGAGGGAAAGATTAAAATAAGTGATGGAAAGTGAAATACTATAAAAGTTGAAAGTTTTATGTACATAAGCATCATTATTATATTCACCTTTTGTTCTTTTGTCAGTCAGATAAAGAACAACAAAAAACTTATAACCAACAAGAAAATGATCATATTATGTCTATTTCCTTTCTAAGGTCATGATTTTTATTAGTGATAGTGGTGGGTGAGTGTGTAGATAAGATAATGACCTCTCTTGTACATTCCCTCTATATGCAACATTCTTAAATTTAAAACTGTATTTGACTTTTTCAAAAAAAATTATATATTGATTTTTGTTACTTTCTATTGTGATGAAAAGCTTGAAAAATGAACTGTTAAAACAATTAATCTGATGCCATAGCATAATTACCTCATCTTAATAAAATTATTATGACCTATCTGAATATTTAGAGCTGTTAAAAATAGTAGAATTAGTTTTGTACCAAAATTTTTTCTTGATATATGATAGTATTTGAATGTTATGGGTTATAAATTTTCACTGTTTGCACAATTACATATTTTCTAATGATATGACATTATTTCATTGCAATGAAGTTTTAGAATTTCTTTTTGTAATTTAATATTTTATTTATTCTTGAAGTTTACCTTATCATTTTGGCTAAAATATAATGGTAAATTTGAATGCCTGGTGTAGCTTGATACAGTGATTACCATGTTATGGTCATTTTATTTTGGCAATACAACTTTCAGTTTATTACTTCCTGCCTGAATTAAAGGATATTCACACATAGAGATAATAATAAGAATTGTGGCTGGGTTTCCATTCTAATCAACAAAGCTTATTTAAGCGTTATTACTGCTGAGTTAGAAATGATAGACATCATGTTCTCATTTGCATGGAAATATTTATGGTTGGTCTAGGATAAAAATTCTCAAATTTAAGCAGTTATTAAGATCACCTGGAGGAACTGTCAAAACATTGTTTGATCAACATACAGTTTCTGATTTAGTAGTTCTAGGTGGGCCCAGGGCATTGGTACTTCCACCAAGTTCCTCAGTAATCCTGAGTCTGATAATGCAGTTCTGGGACACATGATCAGACCCATTGGTCTAGGGGAAGGAGGTACAGCACAGCAGTGCAGCCAAGGGGCCTTGGGCCCATATATCTAACCTGGTTTTTGACAATTAAGAGCATTGTATTGTGAACAAGTTAGGAATCATCTTTGTCATCTACATAATTATAATTATATTTATTGGGATTATTAAGTAAAATAATGCATTGTAAATGCCTAGATCAGTGGTTCACTAATGCAAACTCAGTAACTTGAAGTAATGCTAGGAGCTGTAACAGTAAAAATAGTTAGGAGAGTAATAGCACAGAATATAATAGCAACCCCTAAATCAATGATTTTACTTTCTGGGGCTTCAATTACATATGACTGACAACAGTCTCAAAATATTAAATAGAAAATCCCAGAAATGATTTTATAAGAAAACTTCATGAGTTTTAAATTGCACACCATCCTGACTAGTAACATGAAGAAATTTCAGTGTCTTGCTCCATCCCACCAGGGTCAGCTATACCTTTGTGTAGTGTATCCATGCAGTATACACTACCCACCCTTTAGTCACTTAGTCACTGCCTTAGTTATTAGATCTATTGTAATTGCACTGCAGTGCTGGTGTTCAAGTAACACTTATGTTACATAATAATGGCCACAGAGTTCAAGAGTCCTTATGCTGGCAATTAAAATAGATCAAAGAGAAGCTGTACAGTGCTTCTTTTAAGTGAAAAGATAAAGTTCCATAACTTAAAGAGAAAAAAAGAACATATGATGAGGTTGCAAAAATTTATAGTGAGAATGAATCATTTGTCCATGAACTTTTGAAAAAGGAAAAAGAAATTAATGCAAGTTTGCTTGTATTTTAAACAATAAATTTAATGCTACAATGCACGATTAAAACTCACTTAAGATGGAAAAATCATTCCATGATACTGTTCAAGATGTCTGTGGATTCAGCCATTCATTGGTGGTTTTGGAACATACAGCCGCAAATAAAGAAAGACTGCTGTATCCATATGGCCTGAGTTCTTCCATGATGAAAATTTATTGGTCTTTTCTAAGGAAGGCTGGACAGAAAGCTTGGACAATGAATTTCTGAGATTATTTCCATTAAAAACATTCTGCACAGCAAAGGAATTTAGTAAGAAGTAGTTTTCCCACTACACATATTTCCAAGGGTGTTTGGAGATTAGAATCTAAAGTATAATTTAACCTAAAGTATCTTCCTCTGTGCAGTATTCCTCAATATTCAGAACTTAATGTACTTTTTTCTTTCTTTCCCTTAGCAACAAGAGCAAGACCCAACAAATCTATACATCTCAAATCTCCCAATTTCTATGGATGAACAGGAACTTGAGAATATGCTGAAACCATTTGGTCATGTCATTTCCACAAGAATACTAAGAGACGCTAATGGAGTCAGCAGAGGTGTTGGCTTTGCCAGGTAAAACTCCATGTGTCACCTGTCTGTAAACTGTTTTTTTTCATCAATATAAGGTGGGGTCACGGAGGCATTTGTACCTGAAAGATATTGGCTCTGTGTTTTGATGTTTGAGGCAGAACAGGAAAACAAATCAAATTGTACTTCTTTCATTGATCAAAAACAAAGAGAAAAAAGAAAAGAAAGAATAGTTCTCATTTTAAGAGAATGTTTACAAAAGAAGATGTCAACCAGGAATAAAGTGAAACTAGTTGGACCTGCGTGCTTTCATGAAAAAACAAAGCTAAAGAAACCACTGAGGAGAATAAACTGCTCAAAGACAAAAAAAGAAAACTAAAATCTTTGTCTGGATGACTTTATGTGCTTCTGTGTGTCTCCAGCCAGCAGAGGCATGGATGGGTAGGTGGATATTAAGTGCTATCTGGAAGTCCAGACATGGCATGTGGGTGTGTTTGCCTTGGATGAGACCTGCCATCATTTGGAAAACTGTTCTAAACCATCCTCTCAGCCACATTGAAAGATAACAAATGTCACAAAAATGTTAATTGATCTCTAACTTGAGTTTTCCTGAGATCAAAGAGTGTGTTTTTAAATTGGTTTTGTTCTCCATGATGTTCTACACATAGAGGACCAGTAGACCTATGAAACACAGTGCTTGATGATGAGAATACAAATAAGCAAAATGAAGAAGTCCTTCCTCAGCTGAATGTATGCATGAGGCATTCAGGCTTTCAGAACATTAGCAACTGTTGAATTTTATAGATAAGTCAGAGTGGATGACACCAACTGGGTCTCTGAATTTAGCCAATGTATTCATTCTTGATACCATGCATATCTGAGGCTTTCAGAAGCCTACACACTTCAGGAGTTCACCAACATAACTGCTATGTCTTGCTGTACATAGCAAGCACATTATATTGGTTTTCCTCCTATCCTTGTCCTCCAACCTATAACTAATTAGTACTCTTTTACTTGCACTTGTTTTGAGAGATAAATACATTTCTAACTCATCAATACAATACCTTTGGGAACATATCTCAGTGCACAATGCCTGCCTAGAAAGTGCAAGGTCCTGAGTTCTATGCCCAGTACCCATGCCCCAAAAAAGAAGAAGAAAATACTTTCCCTAAAATCTATGGTGATTTTTTTTGTTACAGTGTAAATTAGTTTGCTAGGGATGCAAAAAGAAAATACTCTCAACTGGCTAGTTTAAGTAACAGAAAGTTTTTAATATGATTCTGAAGGTGGGAAGTCGAATCAGGGTGTCTTCAGCTTGATTTCTTGCGATTCCTTCTCTTTAGTTTGTAGAAGGCTTTCTTTGCCCTATGTGTTCACAAGGTCTTCCTTTGCACACGTGGGTGTCCTGATTCACTCGTCTAAGAACCAGTCATATTGGATTAGGGACTTGTTTTTACTTCTTTAAATATTCATAGCTCCAAATACCTTCACGTTCTAAGTAACTGGGGTTAGGACTTCAAAATATGAATTTGGAGAATGCGCAGAACTGCTTGTAACTTGAGGGCTGGGCTCCTAATTCTCTTACACTGACCTTTGTTGTATACTTTGAGTATTCTAAAAGTAAAGCATATTCTTCTAGGTGAAAAGCCAAATAATATATATATTGTAAGATCAAAATTGAGCAATGGTATATGATGTCATGGGACAGTTAAACTTACAAAATTAGTTTTCTTTAGGAATTGAGGAAAGGTAAAACTTTTAAATTGATATTTCATCCCTCCTCTGAATGCAACTTCCTCCTCCACTGCATTTTTCATATAGAAGCCACAGTGAAAATGTGCCTTACAACTCAAATATAATCATGTCCGCCTCCTGTTTACAATCCTTTAAGGTGGCCTGGGGAATTTTGGTGACTAGCTCCTCCAGCATCATCTCAGGCATCCCTCACCCTCCTAGCCTTGGCTCTTCCTGCCTCAGTGACCGGGGCACATGCTCCCCATCTTGATCCTGACAGTCTCCATGACAGTTCTCCTGGCTTCTGCCTACTCAGCTTTTTGTTACTGACTTACACATTTTTCTTCAAAGAATCCTTCACTGACCTCCAACCCCAAGCTGGGCAAATGTAGTCCTGTAAAAACTGTGTTTAGCTCTTTCAACCAAAATTTATCAGAATTGCAATCAATTTAATATTTATTTTTTATTTCACCCATTGGAATGCCTAATTGTTTTTCATTTTTCATTGTTGGATTGGTGGATAGGTAGATTGGTGGTATATTTCATCATTACCATTCTATGAAGTTTCTGAATAGCTAAGCTCATATTCTTAAAGGCTTTAACTTTGAATATGAATTAGCAGTCACAAAGCTTTACTGAATCTTATGCCTTCTAAATCTTATCTTATGCTCTAAATCATATACGTTTCAATTTCAGAAAGTAGCAAGTGGATTGAAAAACATAGATTCAAGTCAAGGCAGTGTTTTCTTATGTTTAAGAAATAAAAATAACGTGTGAGTCTACGTCAATTTTGTAAGATTCCAGGAGACTGACACAGAATGAGTACTTCATTCTCTATGTAACTTAGACTTTAATTTCCAAGAAGTAGGCTCACTTAATTAACTTAATTAGATGTGGTGAGAAAATAACTTTATCTCTACAATAGGTACGTAAATCTGCCCCAAATTTCTGCTTTCTCACAGGTTAAAATTTATTCTACTTTTTTCTTAGACAATTGTGGCTCTTGATTTAACTAACTTGATACTTACAACTTAATCTTTCTACAACATTCCTTCTTTTTAAAATGCTGTCCTCTCACTTTGTTGCCATCAGCCTTTCTTCTTGAGAGTTCACCCCTTGGACCACAAAACAGATAAGGTGATTTGAGTCATACTTTTCTGGAATCTACCAAGGACACCACACAGAAAATGAAAAAAGTTATTGGGTTATATGCAGATGTCTTGGGACAGTGGTTTTCAAATTGTAGTTCCCAAAATATGGTTTCCAAGTCAGTAGCTTTAGCTTCACTTAGAGATGAAGGCTTTTCTACTACCGAATCATAGCATCAGCATGCTGATGGGGAGGAGGGCAGTCATGTGTAATCTGTACCCACAAGTAATTCAGGTGACTTGGCTGCTCTTTAAAGTTTAGGAAACATTGACAACTGCATTCTGACTGGATCTCAGAGTCATCTGGAAGGTCCTTAGAAACTCAGATTGCTGAGTCCTGCTTTTAAAAGAATTTCTAACTCAATATGTCTGGGGTAGGACCCAAAACATGTAAGCTCCCACATGGCACTGCCACTGCAGATCTGGGGACTGGACTTTAAGGTTTACTGTACCATAGTATCCATTTTTCCAGGTGGAAGGGACTCTTGTTTATGCCTCATTATATTGCATATCACTTTCTCCAAAGGTACTAACTCCAAATCTACCTCCATCCATCCACCTGATGGATAGACAACGTCTTATTCTTCTTCCTATGATTGCAAGCGCTATAATATTGTTTCACATATGTGCTAAGCAAAATTTTGACAATAGTTAAATAAAACCTCTTCAATTTGTTTCTTTCTTCCTTTCTTTTTTCTTTCTTCACTATGGCAACATGCAGGGGACATTTGATGACAATGATAAGTCACTTCTGAAGCAGAGTGCTAGAATATTTGAGAAAATTGTAGTAGCGTCAGATACTGCGGTATATAAATTGTTTCTTCCTCAAAAAATTCACAGTACCACAAGAAGTATTAGAAGTATTTGTATATTGAATTGGGAAAACAAGAACAAATAGCCTATAATTATGTTTAGTAAATTTGTGTGCATATTTCTTGAATTTATGACTATCTCAACTGACAAAATCTGAATAATTTTCTGAGCAGTGGTTCATTTTGAATATACCATTGGTCACTTTTAACCACCAGATCTGGTCCTCCATTCATGTGAAAGAGATTGCAAAGTTCTTTTGATTAGAAAGAAAACCCCCCATTATTATTTCACTTGCAAACTATACATTGAACGTCTTTGATAACTACCTCTTCAAAGTACAAGGAGTATCTTCATTTTATATTTAAAACACTGAACTTCAAAGCACTGATTTGGGTGTCAGCAGGGTGCACAGACAGCACAATTACATGCTGTTTAAAGTTCCAGAAGCACTAAATAGTGTCTGAAATTACAGACATTTTATTTTATTTTATGTTTTTTTTTTTTTTTTTTTTTTTTACTCTCTTGTAACTTAAAACAATTTGCTAAGATACACCATCCTCAGGCAGCATTTTACAGCCAAGTCATAAACCTCTGAAAACAGAAGTTTATGGTGGCAGTGCTGACAGTTAGACCGCTCCTACAGAGTGAGCGGGTGCCGGCTGACTACCTTGTCTGAGAGGGTGAGGATCGCAGCATAAATCAACTAGGGTCTAGAGGGACATGGCTGGATGCTCATGTTATCCATTTCCCATTCCCAGAAACATGAGACTGTTTGTCCTGCAAACCTCTCATTGAAAGAGTGTTATGAGAGGTCAGTAAAGAATGACCCAAATTAGAGAAGAAATGGGGAGGGGTGGGCATTCACAACCTAGCTTTAACATCTGGGAACAGAGAAGCTCTTTTAAAAATGCATTTACTGTCCCCTGGTGAGCTAAGAGCGTGAGAGACCACTGAACACAGAGACCTTTGTATTTTGCAGTATTTTTGACTCTCTTAATTTGATTCTCATGGAATCTTGTTTGAATGACTTTTAGCATATGGGCAATCCTGTCTTTCACCTTTCTCTTAAATGATCTGGTTTCCTATCAAAATCATTGTGCTTCTTCTTTTCACCAAGTAAATTAATGATGATGTGGATGATGATGATGGTAATGGTAGTGGTGGTGCTACAGTGTTGGTGATATGCAGACCAATACTAGTTTGACTATTCAAATGTCATTTTAAATAATGGATTTAAAATATTCTATTTCTACTTATAACTGAATATCATTGATATTTTAATGATTTACCATCTTTTGCCTGATGGATCTTGCTCCCCGTCTTTTCCTGCACCTGGGGCATAATAAGCAC